GAGTGAATGCCACAATATGTCATTTTCAAATTTCTCGCCGTTCCGTCCCCCCGTAGTCCCGTCGCTCGCAGGAGATGGAACCCAGATGACAGATGCCAGCATCCGCCGGATTACATTGCCGGGGACACTGCAGGAGGGACATCGCGGGAGCGCAGGACAAGGTAAGTGATCGAGGGATCCCGGAGCAGCTCCGCATGGTAAGCCCAAGTGTAGCTCGGGAGTACCACTTTTGGTACTGAAACTTTACCCCAAGCTACATTCGGGAATACCGCCAGGGGGGTTAAACCTTATCTATATATTGCCTAAAAAACCCAATCCCAGGGGGAATTTTGTCTTCATTGAATTTCACATCAGGGATGTTGGCAATCATGTGGGAAATCCTCCTATAACTTTCACATTACATGAAACATGGTCAGATTCTGCAGCCCCCCACCCAACCCACAAACCCTCCCCCTACAGGGTTCTTCTTTCTCCTGTAAAATTTGAATTCAGCAAGGCTGTGTGCGGCTCCACCTGCATAACCATGTCATTGATAAGGGTGTATTCTTTTTCTATACACTTTGTGCTATAAGGTGTCCATCTCAGAAGGCAAAATGATTGGGATATATGCTTCCACTCCCTACTGTTTACCTGTGGGATTAAGTAAAAAATGGAGCCAAGGACTCTCTACCACCCCCATGCCACTCAGGCCTCAAGCCAATCAAGCACAAGTACTGCATCATTGGTGGACGCAAAGTGGTTTGCATATTTTCCAAAGGCATAAATATCAACAAAAGTATTGACAGGCAATTGGAGGTAAAGGGAGCTGAGCATATGCAGGAGAAGAAGGTTGGCATCTAAGTGCACCTGTTGTTTTGCATAAAAAATGTATTTTATTAAGCATTTTATCTAAAATATATTACATATATTATAATAATGTACATTTTTAAAATAAAAATTCTAGTTTCTATTGTATTAACTTTATGAACAATATATTTATTTACAATAAATATCTATCCATCATTCAAGATGCCACCAGAAACATAACAAATAACCTGACAAATGCAGTTGTCTCTTGATGTTCTCTGTGGACATTACAATGTACCATTCTCAGATTTTCCATTAGAGGGAGGTAGTGTTCTATCAAAGCATTACTCAGTGCAGGAAGGCGATTAACTGGATATGATTATCATGGAGAATCCAGTATTCACTTTAACCACTTGCCATCCTGGGGATTTACCACCCTTCCTAACCAGGCCTCTTTTTGCTATTCGGTGCTGCACTATTTCAACTGGTAATTGAGCGGTCATGCAATGCTGTACCCAAACTAAATTTACATCCTTTTTTTCACACAAATAGAGCTTTCTTTTGGTGGTATTTAATCACCTGTGCGCGCTTTTTATTTTTTGCGCTATAAAAAAAAAGTCTGAACATTTTGAAAATAGAAAAAATATTTTTTTACTTTCAGCTATAAAAAATATATAGTAAACTCTAAGTTAGTTATAAGTTTAGACCAAAATGTATTCTGCTACGTTTTTGGTAAAAAAAAATCCCAATAAGAGTATATTCATTGCTTTGTGTGAAAGTTATAGCATCTACAAACTATGGTATAGATACTGCAATTTACTCCATTTTGTGCTATACAGTGCTGCACTAGTTTTTTTTTTTTTTTTTTTTTTAAATGCGCTGCACTATTTTAACTGACAATTGCGCGGTCTTTCAATGCTGTACATAAATTAAATTTATGTCCTTTTTTCACACAAATAGAGCTTTCTTTCAGTGGTATTTGATCACATGTGCGTTTTTTTTTATTTTTTGTGCTATAAACAAAAAAAGTCCGAAAATTTTGAAAACAAAAAACATATTTTCTCATTTCTGTCATAAAAAAATATACAAAAAAACTCAAATGAATGAGTTCATGAAATTTAGGCCAAAATGTATTCTGCTACATGTCTTTGGTAAAAAAAAAAATCCCAATAAGTGTATATTAATTGCTTTGTGTAAAAGTTAGAGCGTCTACAAACTATGGGATAGATAATGGAATTTACACAGCTTTTACTTTCTGCCTGCCTATCACATTTCTTGAGGACAGGACAGTACAAACACCCCCAAATGACCACTTTTCGGAAAGTAGACACCCTAAGCTATCTGCTGAGAGGCATATTGAGTCCATGGAAGATTTATTTTTTTTCCAAAAGGTCTTGGAATATGACAAAAACATTTTTTTTTTTTTACACAAAGTTGTCACTTAAATGATATATTGCTCACACAAGCTATGGGTATATGTGGAATTACACCCCAAAATACATTCTGCTACTTCTACCGAGCATGTGGATACCACGTGTGTGTGAGACTTTTTGAGAGCCTAGCCACATACAGGAGCCTGAAATCCAATGACCACTTTGAAAGCCCGAAGGTGCGTAACTTCCTCATTTCACTTACTCACTACCTATCACAGTTTCGGAGGCCCTGAAATGCCAACCCCCCCCCCCCCCAAATGACCCATTTTTGGAAAGTAGACACCCCAAGGAATTTAAAAAGAGGCATGGTGAGTATGTTGCAGATCTCACTTTTTCTCACAAGGTTTTTTTTTTTATATTTTTTCAAGTTAGTTTGAATTTTTTTATTATTTTTACACTGTCCCTTTCCTTTTGTTTATCACTTTTAATGCTAGCACAGGGAGCGCAAATATCCCCTATAACATCAATGGGCATTGTCATATATTCTTTTTTGAGAAATCTGGGGTCTATCAGACTCTAGATATCTCCTCTGCCCTTACATTATCTTTTCTCACCAAGATCAGTGTGATCAGATGCTTTCTCAATTTACAAATGGCGCTGTTTATATCCTGCGAAACTGAAGTGATGAAAAGCTTCCAATTTCTTAGACTATCGAGATGATTGGTGCCATTCCGGTCTCCAATCAGCTCTATGGTCAGCTGGCAGAAACACTGGTTGTATTCTCAGGTTCCCCCAATGGCACGGGACTGCCCGAGAAGGCCGTGGAAGGCGGCAGGGGAAGGGGCCATCTTCTCCCGCTGCTTGTAAAAGCAATCCTGCAGCTAATTAGCCACCAGGATTGCTTGTACATGAAAGCCATAGGCATCATCTTGGTATAAACGCAGCTGCACGCATCATCCTGGTATAACCACTCAAAGTCCAGTGATGTACCAATACGTCGCTAGTCCAAGATTGTACAAATGTCTAAATAGTGGCACGCTTGAATAAAAATTGTCCACGTATAAGTGGTACCCCATATGGAAAAAGGATGACACCTAAGTCCCAAACTATCTTGCCACTGCTCCCCATGTAGTCTGGGCATCCGGGGGGCTCCACGTGACTATCTTTTCCCTCGTAAATCGAAACTTATCGAAGTATAGCCTGTTGCCCTCTCACAGGTCTCATACATCTTGACCCCATATCTGGTGTGCTTGCTGGGGAGAAAATGTTTGAATGCAAGGCAGCCAGAAAAATGAATGAAGGACTCATCAATGCAGATGTTTTGCTGGGGAGTATAGACATCTTTGGTTAAGGTGATTTACGAGGGGCCGAATTTTGCAGAGCCAGTCAAATTCAGGGTCATCCTGAGGACGACAGAGTGTGTTGTCATTGAAATGCATAAAATGCACTATAGTCTCATATCTATGCCTGGCCATGGCAGCAGAGAACACGGGTATATGATGAATTGGGTCTGTGGACCAATACAACTGCAATTCATTTTTTTTAGTAATGCCCATGTTGAGGGTTAGGCCCGAAAAAACTTTGAATTCAGAAACCGCAATGGGTTTCCATGCAAATGATCTGTCAAGGTTTGAATTTGGGTTGGCAGCGATAAACTGTTGTGTGTATAGATTGCTTTGATCCACAATCAATGCATACAGATCTTGTGTGAAAAACAGCTTGGGTAATATTTAAATTTGCTATTTTCAACTGAATTCTGGGTTGGGCAGTGAATGGGGGAAGTAATGGTGCTGCAGAATTTGTGGGCTACCAATCGGGATTTGCAAGCACATCTGGAAGAATACTAGGGGCTCTACAGGCTTGTGTGCTAATTCTTGGTGGCTGCGGGACAATACTTGTGCTCGCCACCGCACCAGCTTGTACTGCACTTATGGGAGTCGCCATGTCACCAAGTGATACTGCAGTGCTGGTATGTGAAAGACCAGGATGTACAAGGCCGCTGGTGCTCGCCAATTCACCAAAAGGTAGTGCGGCACTAGTACTGGCACTCTGCTGCATATGAGAGTCATCATGCGTTTGGAACATCTCAGAAACCTGGGAATGGGGTTGGGTACACCTGATCTTAGCAGGGACCTCTTCTCCATTGTCTGAGCTATCTGTCAGAGATTACTTGAACTGCTACAAAAAAAATTTACTGGCAAGTGCTAGCAGAAATTAGGCCTTATTCTGCGAACACTGCGGTTTTGTGTGCAATTGATCAAGTGACAGTGATCTACTGACACTGCACTTGCTGGGAGAGGTGGGGGGGTAAGTATAGGGGCTAAATGCAGATGCTGGCAGGTGTAAGAGCTGATCCCACCAATGCTGCTTTTTTGGGGACACTATACTAATGTGAATGCTGGTATAGTGCTGATCTGATCAAAGATATTGATCTTTTCAGACACTATACTAGCAATGGAGGTTTATAGTGTATGTGAAAGTGTCCCTGGCAATCAGGGGGTTAAATGTGATTACTGGTGTACTGACGGGCAATATGACGCTATCTGGGAGGGGCGCGAAACCAGCAGGAGCGCGAATCACATGTATATACATGATTTTGCGCAGCCGTTCCGCCCTGTAGCAGTATTTGTACTATAGGGCGGTGTGGAAGCGGTTCAACATGTCCAGTAAAAAAAATTTTAAAAATCAAATTTCATCATAAATTTAGACCAAAATGTATTCTGCTCCATATCTTTGTTAAGAAAAAATCCCAATATGTGTCAATTAATTGGTTTACGTGAAAGTTACAGCGTTTAGAAATGTTTTTGTTTTTTTTTACTAATGATGGCGGTGATTAGTGACTTATTGCGGGACTGCAGCAGACATTCTGACACTGGGGGGAACTGACTTGGTGTCACTGACATCCCCAGTGTCACCAATACAGTGATCAGTGCTAAAAAAAAGCACTAACACTGTACTAATGGCACTGGGCAGGAAGGGGTTAACATTTGGGGGCAATCAAAGGGTTAACTGTGTGCTGGGAGTGCTTTACTAGGGGGGGTGTGCTTCACTGTAATCACACTGCTCTGGATGGCTCTGCTCAGCCATCTAGAGCAGTGTGCCCAAGCTGACAGGGAGGAGGGCTGTTGGTAAACAAAGCAGCCCTCCTCCCCCTCGATAATTCTCGGCAATCACCGGACGCCAGCGGGTAATCACCAGGTGGGACCCGTTGAGTGACACCCGAGGCTGCGACCAGCGGCATTGGTACGGCACGCCTTGTGTGCGCCCCCTACCTGGAAATGCAAAATCATGTATATATATATACACGTGATTTTGAGCATCCGTGCCCCCGTGTAGCAGTATATCTGCTATACGACGGCGAGTAAGTGGTTAGAAAGTAACTCCACTTTTGTGAAAATAAAAATTAGCAAATAAGAAAAATAATATAACATCCACAACTGAAGCACAAATAATATCGTAGTTGAATGTTATTGAAAATTACCTTTCATTTTCAATCTGCAGTGCGGTAATTTTCTGTAAAATGTAATGCAATATGGCTATCTGGAGTGTTCTGTACACAGATGGTGTACAGAACGCCCCCCAGAAATATCATTTCCTGCTTGTGTGAATGACTTACAGATTTTCCCAGAAGTCTGCACTAATATATTAGTCAGATTTTTGGCATCCCCTGCAGCAAAAATTTCATTTTTGGTGAGATATTCCCAAAGGAAATCATGTCTAAAGGGATGTAGACCCTGCCACTTTCTTCATTAGAGCCCTGCAGGTGCTGCAGCTGATTGCTAATTATAAAACCACTCTTATACAGGTTCACTTAACACTTGGACACAGACAAACAAACAGCTATTTCTTCAGACTAACAAAAGGTAGGAATCTGCAACAAAATTTGTTAAAATCCTTGCAATCTACATAGATCACCCAGAGGGGAGGGTTTTTTCCTCACAAAAAGTGGCGTTATTCTTTAAATCACTGCACCTGACGTTCTTTGTAGTCCCTTCTAAAAACTGAGCACATTGCTTTAAGTCAGTGTAACTTCCTCTCCCTATGTGCTTTTAACAACTTCCAAGGGAGGTTTAAATCTTATTTGGTGGCTGTGAGAAACTTCCTAGTAGTAACATGTATTACAAGAAGCAGTGTTTTCCAGGATGACCAGCACTTATGCTCCAGAATCACCAGATTACCTAGACGTGGAAGTGGGGTGGACAGAAATGACTGGATGAAAAAATTACAAATACTGCAATACTCCCTGACAGCTTAACAGGATGGAATATTTAGCTGTAAGTTGTGAAAGCTGTGAAGAGGATGTTTCCCCCAGACTCTGAGTCTCGATTGCTTTCTCAGGTCTGCAGGGCACCTCTACTGACTGCAACACTTTATCTATTGAGGCCTTCTTCTCTTGTATCAGAAACTGGTAATTGCCAGCAACATGGGGTGCACACTCACTGGCCAAGAGCCACAATTACAGGCAATGGAATATTGGAGTCCACTCACCAGATCTGTGTCAGTCCCCACAATCAAGGACCTTTTGTAGACCCCAGAGGTTGGGAACATAGACTGGCCAGCATATCAAAGGTGCTTAGTTGGCCAACAACTAATGGGTCAAGTGGCAGCTCGATCTGCTTGTAGAGGCCTACACCCCCATAATTATAAGAGAACAATGTAGCTGCCAACTTTTTCATGGGAGTAGATTGAGATATCTCTCTAAGTTGTGCTGTGATTCTTGTTGATAATAAGGTTACCATCTCTGTCATTTTGGATGCGCCTGTCTTCAGAATGGCTATTTCGGAATAGATGTCAGTTGCACTAATTGGTGACTGGGTGATAGTTTCCATCTTACTGACTTGGACTGCACTTCCTGATGCAGTCACTACATTGCAAAAGGGCCAGAAGTATCCCAATGGCACTACACCAGAAAGCACACGAGTTGGGTAGGTCCCCCTTTGTAATTCCCTTAACTCTGCCATTGGCATGGAGTAGAAATGAGCTGCGACCAAGAAGAGATGTTCTATCAGGGGCCACCAGCCAGAGGTACACTTATATGGGGAAATAAACAATAAAAAGCCCATCCGCCCATACCAACCAATCAGCATTTGTTGTTATCAGATTATACTCAGAGGCATAGGCCCTGATTCACTAAGACGTGAGTCTACTATCAGATTCTGACCATTCAGGCAGACTCAATTAAATCAATCAAGACCTGTCAGTCTTCTGAGCAGCGTCTAGCAATCTCATTAACCAACGTCTACTTTGCTATTAGTAAATGTGGAACCAGATCCAGCACATTTTTAGGTGCAATACCGGATATGTTCGCTAGATGGCGCACAAGCGCGAGCTTTATTAACATTGGCGTTTTTGTCTTAGTAAAAGAGAATATTTAGAATAACAAATACACCTATATTAGAATTTTTTTTTTTTTTTTTTATTGCGGACCTTTATTTTTACATTCAGCTGTCAAAATAAATATTATCTAGACCTTCAAAATAAGTAAAATCATTACAGAAATAATTATAAAGGATAAGAAACAAAAATAGAATCACTAGATCTAAGGAAATCAAATTAGAATACATGAAGATATGCTTAGTGCTGTTTGTTTAACACAGTAGACGCTACCGAGTGTCGGCTGTCAGAGGAATCCACAGTGAGATTTACTATTGGGCAGTGGCTAAAAAGCAAACGCCCATGGCAGACACCTAAAATATGTTCTGCACATGTGCATTTATATCGGCCAAGAAGACACTGCCGGGCGTCTAGATTTTTACTGTGTCGATTTCCTTGAAAAAAACGATTTTTAACACATTCTTAATTTTTTGGGAAATAGCAGATATTGTTTAAAGTGAAGTCCTGATATTTGGCAAAGCAAATTTCTAAATGAACATGTCTCTGCAGTGATTTTTCATGGTGTTAGACGTGCTTCTTAGCAAGTCTGCTTTGTGAGTCTGCTTCCGGGCGTGTGTCTTTTTGTAAATTCGATTGGGCATCTGCTTATGGGCGCTGCTCAATAGTAAATCTCGTTGCGGGGTAAAAATAGACGGTCGCCCATAAAAATTGGCGTTCGCCCACGAATATGCGCCCACGCCCAATAGTAAATCAGGGCCATAGTGTCAACCTAAATCTCCTTCGCCCTTATATCTCTAATGCAGTAAGGTCTGTGCATTTGAGTTCCAAGCTCTGTCCTCTTTGCTACAGTCACTAGGTGGTGTTCTCACTTTACCTGTCAGATTAGTCTGAGCTGTGAAACCCTAACATACCACTGAAATTCATGACAGATGTAAAAACACAACGTACCAGACTCCATCTCTAACTGAAGTACCTGACCTTTAAGTGATTTTGCTCAATCTTAGTTCTCCAATATTTAAAGTGTCATTAAATCCACATAATAAAACACTATCAATAAATGCTGTATTACATGCTGTTCATACTCACTCATTCACTGGAGGGGTGTGACACAGCTTGTGACTGGCAGAAATCCCTCTACACCATGTTATTACCAAAAAGTAATAATGATTTCATTTCAAATATATTTGTATGATAATTTAAAACATTTTATTGATATTAATTATTTATATTCACTCTGTATTCCAAAGGCTGTTTTTTTTTATTTTGCTCCTCCTGCCACTGGAAAGAGCTGGATCATGTGACAGCTGTATATTAATTAAGAAAGATTTTTTTTTAATTAAAAGAATTAAAGTGCCATCATCCATATACATTAAGAGAAGGGATTCTGTAAATTAATCAGGGTGTGTTTAGTATTACTTTAAGGTTGGTAACATGCTGGGACATACAGATCAACAATGCTCTATGTTCACAGTCCTTTTACAAGTGAAAGTGACTATGCAATGAATTTAAACAAAGCTGACAAAGCATCATTTTGCAAATAAATGTGCATTCTACTTATATAAAATAGTAACTACAGAAAATAAACAACTGTTCCCTGCATAGCAGGACATTGGTACACTCATTACTCAGTGTACTGCTTTGTATACAAAATAGTTTGACCTTTGCATAGCAGCAAACTTTTTAACACATTTTAATTCACATTATTATCTTAATAAAACCAAAAAAAAAACGACACCTTACCTGCCACGGATAAGCAGCTGCTTCCAGTCTCTTTACTGTGATTGAATCCTAGTCAAGGACCACATTGTCTCTGGCTTCCATAAGAATAGTGGGAGTTTCATATTTAGAGACATCCTTTTGTCTGCAGTAAGTATAACAGCAAGGCGCAAAATTTGGAAACATATCCTGCATAGGTAGTAAGAAAATATGCACATAATAACATTACAATGTGTGTCCAGACAGAGCTTACTTTCTTAGTTATGGATAGAGTGGTCTCTACAGGTTTTGACTGTTATCCTAGGCTCCATTATAGAAACGCATGCTCACTTCCTGCCTTGCTCATAATGTTTTACTACAGGAATTGAGGGGAACTCTCTAACAGCAACACAGATGGAAAAAAATATGTCCATGTTGCAAAATTTTCCTCCCTCCGTGTCTGCTGAAACCATTGTCAGCAGGACAAGAAGTAACAGTACCTCTCTGTAATAAAGCCCTTGATAGCGGTACAACCCAAAAGGAGTTCTAATCCTTTCCCACTCTATTAAAAAAAATAAAAATTAGCTTGAGATACACTTTAATTTTCAGAGCAAGGTTTTTAGAACATTCAAGCAACCGATTTTTTCCCAGTGTTTACAGAAACTGCTTTCAAAAAATCAAACCACTTTCCAATGTTTTACCAGTGAACATAAATTCGTATCTAGTTTGACCCTGTGTACCTGTAAGGTTGGTCATAGAGGGCTCAAATTTTGACCAATTTGTGCTGAATTGGTGCTGAATCTAGCTCAAGAAGTGCAGATTTAAAAATCCACTGAGCCAGGTGGAATCTTATATGCTAACAGTAACTGCATCCTATTAGATGCAGTCTCTGTTCAGCAGGGACATTGTATTCAGACAGCCGTGTGTGCCACAGCTACTAAATACCATAGCAGGCAGAGGAAATTTCTTCATCCACACCGTCATCATGCATAGAGGAATCAATTGATTTTCTCTTGTTCAGCCAATGAGGATGTATGGGTTAAGGACCCTTGCTGGAGTGGCAGAAGACCTTTTGAAATCATGTTCAGAGGGCCTTAAGTGAATTGATGTCAGAATCGGAGGTGCAGCTACTTCACAAAAATCATATCTTGCCCCCATGAAGTCATCATAGTAGAGCACCTCACATGGGCTCCGAACCAAATAGAAATATCACCATAAGCATAGGCATACACACTTTCTTTTGTTCAACAGCATGGATGAA